GAAATGTGTGGACGAACAAATATTGAAATATCATAGCTGAAGAAATGTGTGGACGAACAAATATTGAAATATCATAGCTGAAGAAATGTGTGGACGAACAAATATTGAAATATCATAGCTGAAGAAATGGGACTATTTGTTACATTAACTTGGTGTTATGTTGCAACTCAATTCAGTTCATTAATTCATTACTTTTAAAACCAGTGGTGTCTGTGAGGTCCTTTGCTTTGCGTACTAAAGGTGTCAGTTTGATTCTTAGGTCGGGAACGCTTTTTCGTTCTTCTTATTTTGAGTGCCTCCATCTTTTTTCTAGCATAGTGAATTTTTCTCTGCCCAGGTTGATCTTAACACTTATGGTACCGAAGGCTCATATAGTGAAAAACGCTTGGGTACCCCATCAGTTTAGAACACTGAAGCCGTGGTAGAATTTTTTAAAATTAGTAACAACCTTGGCGACCAACAAACAGGTTTTAAAAATCCCTAGAGGTTCATGAACCATTCAGCTATCCCTAGAGGTTCATGAACCATTCAGCTATCATATAGAGTGAGAAGGGAAGACCTAAGATGACATGGAGGCGAGCGGTATCAGCGGAAATTGAAAAAGCGGGGACATCATGGAAACAGATAGAAAAGGATGCTCAGGACAGGCTTCGCTAGAGTGATGTTGTTGATGGCCTGTGCTCCACTGGGAGTTAAAAAGGGCAAGAGAGATAGAGTGACTTCCTTTGGTATTTGCTTCAGTGCAGTGCGTCCATTCGTTGTTGAATTATGTTTAGTGTACCTGGTTGCGTCGGTGACTAACAGTGGTAGTGAGCGCAGACTAAAGTGGCCTGATGGTACTGTCAGTGTCAAGAGGCTCGTTTGAAACAGCTTGCCTCTTGAATGGTTTAGATATTGTTGATGGACTTAGAATTAGTCATCAAGCTCACATATTTTATACGTACCTAGCATATTTTATTATGTTGAAGGCTTTTGGTGTGATGGAGGTTTTTCTGTAGTATTGTTGCCTGCTCCTTACTTTGTTTGTTTTTGTAAAGTGTTTTACGGCGCTCACAACTGCATAAGGTCATATGAGCTCGCGGGACACACCTAATATTTTCAGTTGGTAGGAAATTTTGAATTTTGCCCGGGTGGCGGCCGAAGCCTACTCTTATCGATTTTAAACCACCAAGGGATCTTTAACGTGCGCAACTTGCACACGGGCCCTCCGAGATTTTTCGCCCTTGTCCGAGAAGGCTAGGTGTAGATCTTTCCTACCAGAAGATCAGGGGTGTGGTAGAAAGACAGCTGTAAGAAGGAGTCAAGGAGTAGCAGTAGAAAGGCTGCAGAAAGAGTCAGGAGCCCAGAGGAGGGGGCAAAGGAGGTGAGAGGGTGGGGGCAGAAAGTGGAAATGAAAGCAGACAACAGAACATTGCTAGAGAGCAGGAAAGGAGGTGGAAGGAGACAATTTTAGAGAAGAAAATGTTTCGGTCGCTACCCGGATTCGAACCCGGGACCTTTGAACGAGAGGCCAACACCTTAACCTCTAGGCCACGAGAGCCCCCGCTCCTTACTTCGAGTATGTTGATGTTAGATGGTGCGTTATTGCAGTAGGAAAAAAAGATATTAAATCATTTTGATGTTCGTAAAAAGAAAAGGTTGTATTGATGTATCTCTTTATTCAAGTGTTCTCTGATAGATTTGATGATATGGATGCCAACCCCTTGTCATTTCATTTGAAGTTCATTTCAGATATTGTCACTGTTGGGAGAAAAATGGGTCTCTTTATAAAAAATTATCCTTCTTTGAATGATGATGGGTAAATAAAACATTGGAGTTGCTCACTTTTTGTTGTTGTTGTTATGGCAAGGTTATTCCCTTGGTCTTATTTTTTATGCAAGAAAATATCAAAGATTGGGAAGCCCCTAAGACATGAAACCTCCATTAACTCTACAAGAGAAGTTGTTTGGGCTAATGGAGGAACTAAGCAGGACGGCTCAGTATATCATGATAGATCCTGGTCTTGAATTGTGGAGTGATGGAGAAGAAGAAAAAGAAGAAAGAATAAGGAGTCTTATTTCAGTAAATCAATATTGTTTTAGATCTGTGATATGGACATTTCTTTCTTCTTTCTTTCTTTCTTTCTTTCTTTCTTTCTTTCTTTCTTTCTTTCTTTCTTTCTTTTTTTCTTTCTTTCTTTCTTTTGTAATTCTTTGATTTGTTCATTCAATGAAAGAAGCGCACGCTCATATGACCTTATTCAGTGTTGAGCACCGTAACACTCTTATTAGAACTAAAACCAATTGAAAGAGACAGACTACTCTCTCATTTAAAAAAAAAAAATGAGTTGATAGTTGCTCAAAATCTTTAATGTCATTGGTGCTAGAACCCGTGACAAATGTTCATGTATGCTCTTATTGTTTTTTCCTGATTGTCTTTTTTGCCAACAGTTTTTCGGAGACGCCTGTCCCAAATATTTGATGCTTGTGTTCAAGCGAAGAGATGCAAAGAAAAATGTGATCATAAATTCACCAGCGTAAGTAAATGTTTGTTCTTCGTTGTGGTTGAGTTGGTGGTCAAGTTTGTGTCGGTGGTCAAGTTTGTGTCGGTTACATGGAAGCACGCACCCGTTTGGTTCCCGGGGCCCTGTCCAAAAGTTGAGCAAAGAATAGAAACTCTGTATCGATACCGCACATGTTGTAGAAGCCGACTAAGGTCGGTTGGGCAAAGGGTAAGCAGCCCTTTCCCGTAAGACAGAAAAACAGCTACAAAAACATCAACAGCAAAGACAACACAACCGTCAGTTCTGGAACATGGAGGACCTTCAAGGGCTAGAAAAAGATGCACAGGACAGGCTTTGCTGGAGGAATGTTGTTGATGTCTATGCTCTACTGGGATTGAGCGACAGAAGATCAGAGGTGTTACAAGAGAGTAACTAACTCAAAAAAGAAGAAGGGGAGATGAGGATAATAGATGTTTGATAGGAAAGAAGAAGCAAACCACACCAGAGCACCTGCCAACCACCCACAGAGACATGGAAGCATGAACCTGGACGCACTAGTGTCTGGAGTTCAGCGGGTAGGTAGGGGCATTGCCATTGCTTGGAGGAGACCTGAGTTTGACTCCAGAGTGGGAAGAAATTAAAATCCTGTATCAGGAAACCTCAAATGCAGTTTTTGGGACACATGAATAGATATAAAAATCTTGAACATCTAGCTCTCACTGGCAAAATTAAGGCAAATGAGGCAGGGGTAGACCCAGGGCAACCTACTTGGGGAACCTAAACAAATGGGTAACGTGGAAAGGTCAGGGAAACATAGCTTTTTTAAGAGCCTCCGAACAAAGGAATAAATGGGGAACCATGATCGCCGATGTCTGTCACTGGTCTGGCACTCAATGAATCTCTGTATTTCTGCTGGGATGTTGCGTCCCTCTCAGTCCAGGTTGGCCACTGACAGGCAGAGTTGAAGCCTGGCTTGTAAATGAACTAAATTGAGTTGATGAGGGAGTAAAATTTCCTTAAGTTGAATTTTAAAAAAATAGAACCTGGAAGCTGTGGTTTTCAAAAACAGGATTAGTTCATGTCAAGATTTCCCTTGATGGTTTAAAGAACTTTCTTCTGTCATATCCGATTTGTGTCTGGGCACCCATAGCCGTAAAACTTTTACTATAGCTCGTTCACTTTTGTTGACAACGGTTAAAACGGGAAATGTGGGGGCAGGACGGTGTCGCTGTCTCAAAAAGAGCAATTTGTAAGCAAGGCTACTGTAAGTCATTTATTTTAGTGATCCTGTGTTTGAATCCAAAGAGCGGCTTTTGATATGGGGCCCAACGAGAAAAAGTTTTTTTATTACTTTGTCAAGATTTTTATAAAATAAATTTTTGTTTGGTCGCTGGCCTGCAGACTGGCCTGCAGACTGGCCTGCAGAAGTGCCATGCAAAGTTTCGTGGGCATTGGTAAATTCCTCAATGAGCTAGGATCTTTTAAATGCTGTCAGACGAAAGTGAACAAGCTATAAAACAAAGTACAAAGTTATGCAGACAACTGTTTGGCATCGTCATGTCTGTGCGTTCTCGTTTCCCCAGAGGCACCCGGCGGTGTTTCTCACCAATCTGGCGTTCGGCGCTCTGGCCGTGTTCCACCTGGCCTACCTGGGGCTGATGTTCGACAGCAGTGACGGAGAGGACAAGGTAGCGAACTCGATGCCTTTCCTACTTCATACATGTTTTTAAGTTTTTCTTTGGTCGATGCAACTTATTTATTTGTTTATAATGCAAAGGATTTGACCATTTAGTTTTGGAGTGACTTTTATTGCAGAACTTTCACACACACACATACACATGCACGCACACACACACACACACACGCGCACACATGCATGCACGCACGCACGCACACATACACACCCACACGTTTGAGTGCGCACATACACACGCACACACACACACACACAGACAAAAGAATCCGTTCAAGATGGTCACCCATTGTAATTGTGAAGGAGAAAGGTGGTTGTGATAGACAGGTGGTTGTCTTGGACAGTGCTATTACAATATGTGAGGCAGCGTGGTGGAATCAGGCTCTCGTCAAAATAATCAAAGTGAAGAAACTTGCATTTTTCTGCAGGTTTGTGAATTTTTATCAAGTTTTTGTTTTTTGGCTCAAAACCTTTCATGCCCATTAAAGAACTCATTTCTGAGGGATTTTTCTTAAAAACGTTGATTAAAGGAACAAAAAATGTAAATTTTCAGTTACCACGGACTCTTAAGCTAAGGAAATAACTAATCTTTGGCGGCCATTTCCTCACTAATTTTTCCTCTGAGAACAGGTGACCCCCACCTCCTTCTTTCGTAAATGTCTCGACTTGCATTCAAGATAAATGGATACCTTTTTCATCCAAATAAAGACAAGTAAACAAACTTTAAGATGGTACCAATAACTCTACATACCCAAAAATTGATGAGAACCTGATTCCACTACGCTGCCTCACATATTTGAAAAAATGCAAGGGGACTACTGGGAAGTGGTAGTTTGTACAGGTGATTGCCTTGGACAGGTGGTTGTAAGAATGAGAGCATGATTGTTGGCGGGTGCTCTGGTGTGGTTTGCTCCTTCTTTCCTATCCAACACCTATCATCCTTATCTCCCCTCCTGCTTTTTTGTGTTTGTTACTCTCTTGTAACACCTCTAATATTCGGCACTTCTATGACCTATTGTGTTGCAAGTGCCGTAAAAACTTACTTTAAAAAAAAATAGATAGAATGAGAGCAAGAATATCCGTAGACTTATTCTGTTTCCAACTTTACATACTTTACTTTTCCGATCCAGCGGCTATTTGGGTTCTAGCCCTTCGGTCTGATTATGTTTCCAACAGCAATGTATGTTTATTGTACTTTCTCAAGTTTTGTTTTACTTGTTTTGTTAAGGGGGTTGTGGGGTAGGGGTATGTGGTAGGTGGATGGGGAGAAGGAGGGGGATGG